TCTGAAAAAAAAAATTGTGGAGCACATTGATGAGCTGACAAGCGAACAGGCAAGCGAAGCATCATGAAGAACTACTATGACAACAGGAAAACAAAAAATTTGTCAACTATACACTACAAGAAAGACCAGAACAACAAAACACACGTACTATCAGTGTAAGTGATACTTGTGCATGGGACATGCAGTTCTCATGTGTAAAGACTGCCTTGGGTGTGACAGTTGAAGCAAGGCTTATTTTTCTGGCAGAGTTCTAGTGGTATTTGCATTGTAGTAACACAGGAATTTATTTCTGATGTTGTCTTTTCGGTTTTGCAAGGAAGTACACCGCTGAAAATGAATGAAAACATGATGTCTACTCTAAATACGCAAAGTCTGGCAAGTGCTAAGGGCCTGAGTTCAATCCCTGGTTCTGCAAATAAATAAAAAAATAAATACGCAATGCATATTAAGACTTTAGTAATTCATTTTATTGATTTTTATGTTCCTGTTTACACACTGCATAACATAATAGAACCTCCTGAAAAAACAGCAAGACCACTGAAATGTCAAATATGTCCCCAAGAAAGGCCAGGAAAGCAAAAACCACGTGAAGTCAGTATCAGGGACACGTGCGTGCACGTGCTGCTGTCACATGTGCAGACTGCCTTAGGTGTGATCACTGACGTAAAGATTCTTTTTTCGTAGCGTGCTCTTGGAATTTTCACTGTAGTGCATATGGGAATTTATTTCTGATGTTTTCTTTTAGACTGTATACACCAAAAACCATTTGATATTGAAAATTTGGATGTTTTTTTATAAGCATCAAAAAATATTACAGGACCGGGGATATAGCTCAGTAGCACAGTGCCTAACTAGCAAGCATAAGGTCCTGAGTTTGATCCCTGGAGCTAAACAAACAAACAAATAAATATTACAGTATTTATGAAAAGCTCAATCTTTATTTATATTTTTCTGTTAAGTACTCATAATCAATATAATAAAATTCACAAAATGTAATTGATAATACATCAACAGAAATATTCTAAAAATAAACACCTTGATGAAAAAATGAGTCTTTTGCTCCAAGGGATTGACTATCAGTATTAACATCACAGTAATATTAAATCAGATGGCTCATTAGTTGTGCGGCCCGGAACCCCGTCCATGACTGAGCCTGTTTCCTGAATTGTAATGTATCACTAATAGTACCTGCAAAGCATCCCGTGAGGTGAGCCTCTGACTGCACCTATTTCTTTTCTTTTTCTTTTTCTTTCTTTCTTTTTCATTCCTGAAGACTGAACCCAGGGCCTTCACATAGAGTTACATCTCCAGACCTTTTAAATTTCTTTTCGAGACAGACTGGGGTTGCCCAGGCCGGGTTAACACCTGCATTCCTCAGCATCCCACAGTGTTGGGCTCACTGGCACAGGCCACCATGCCTGGTCTGACTACACATTTTAAAAAAATGATCAGGGAGGTGGGGGAGATGGCTCAGTAGAATAAGCGCTTCCCTGGCAAGTGCAAGGGCCTGAGTTCAATACCCGGTTCTGCAAATCAATCAATCAATATGAAAAAGGATCAGGATAGTGACTGGCAATTTGCACTACCCAATGGGACAAGGACAAGGCCCGGGAAGGAAAGAACCGCAGCCCCGCCAGGCCTCCATCTGTTCCTCCAGTGTGGGTACCTGGTGGGCCACCAGCCAAGGGTTTGTCTGCTGGGCTTGGGGACAGCCAGAATGACAGAGCTACCAGGATGCAGAGCTCAGACAGTTCCTCAGCAGGCAGCACCGCCGACTGTGGCTTGGAGGGGCCCCTGGTCCCGTTTTGCAGAGCTTCCTGATACCCGACTTCTTTCCTTCTTTGGGCCTTGAACAGGGCACACTTGTCTCTCACTTCTCCTCTTGGCTTCTTGACCTGATCACCCGTGGTACCATGGGCTCCTCAGGGGGTGCTTGTCCTGGCTCTCCACACTAGGCAGCACAGACACGGCCTCCTCCAGGCCAGCACAGATGAAGGATGCTTGGAGCAGGCAGTGGGGAAGGCCTCAGGGAAGGCCTCCAGGGCACTCTCTAGAGATTTCTTACTATCCTGGAAATCCAACTGGCTAGGCAACCAGGAGCCCTGGGGCTGCTCAGTGCTGCAGATAAGGAGTGACAGGAAGACTGACAGGAAGGGCTGTTGCAGGTCTGTGCGTGCAGCTGGGGTGTTGAGCCTGACCTGTGCTCAGACTCTGTGGGAGGGCTAAAGGAAGAGAGGGCAGAGTGTAGATCAAAGGTGTTTCATACTAATGAGCGATCTCTGTTCTTGGAGCTCTGGAGGACACAGGGCCATCTGCTCTAAACAGAGCTGCTGCAGGCAAACCTCAGGCTGTGTCCACCCCCTCAGGGGCTGTTGGAAATCCAGACCCATTACCCTCATCCTGGGGGCAGAAATGTGCTTTCCACATCTCTCCCCGCTTTGCTTTATTTATCCTTGCCTTAGGAGAGTCACGAAACCTGGATGCCTCTGAACTGGGCCCCCCAACAACCACACTGTTCCTGGGCCTCTGGGATGTGTGTTCTGCTGTTGGGGCTTTGAAAGTAGTCTGGCAGACTCCTCCAGAATCCCTAAGGATCACAATCAGGGTACCACCCCTTCCCTCAGAGGGGCCTTCCTCCTCTGAGCTTGACCACTCAGCCCATCCCAGGAGAGGGGAGCCATGGTGAGGTCAGATTCCAGAGAGGAGGCCCTCAGTCCTCACAGCTGGGCCCCCATCTCTCAGGCCTGGGAGAGATGGAGACAGGGAGGGCTGAGCGGCCCTGCCAGGCTTGGAGGGGGTAGGCTGGAGACAGACCGGCAGGGAGGGTGTGGGCTAAAGACAGCCAGGTCTGCTGCGTTGGGAGGGGGTGGCAGGGACTGGAGGGTGGGGGAGGGGCCGCGGGGAAGTAGGCCTCCCTCCGGCATTCCGAGCTGAGTTGCTAAGCCACTGGTTCCTGGAATATATAAAACAAGATTGGGGACTCTAAGGTCCTTGAAGATACCTTCCAGATGAGTTGGCCAAACTGCTGGATGCCTGCATTTCTAGCTCCAGGCTCGTTCTGCTGGTGAGGATCCCTGGCTAGCAAGGCGGAGAGCCCCTGCCCCTGGAGTTTGGATTGCTGCTCAGAGATCCAGTGGTCACAGAGGAAAGAGCCCGCACAGGAGCACACATCTGAGGTAACAAGATCTCAAGCTATAACCGAAAGACCTTAAAAGAAATGGCTTTGACACTCCCAAGCCTGCCTGTGGCCCTCTGACCTCCCTGGTTCCCTGTGCAATCCTGGGCGTCCCTTGGCCAGCTCTCTGGGAACAGAGCTGGTTCTGAGGTTCTTGGGTTTTGTTAGAATCTACGTGGGGTCCTGAAATGCTTGACTCCAGGGGCCTGAGCCTCATAGCTCTCTGGGGGGCTCTTTTCTTTCTTTTTTCTTTTTCTTTTCTGGCAGTACCTGGGATTGAACTCGGGCCCTTGCACTTGCCAGGCAAGCACTTATTCTACTGAGCTATCTTCCCAGCCCCTCTTTTTTTCTAAAAGCATCCCTGGACTGGCTTCCAAGAAAGGGACCTTGAAACTCTATGAAACAAGGACTTATCCGTGGCTGGACAGTTCTAATGCAAAAAACCAGACAGCTGGGGGTCAGTGACTGTGACAAAATCTCCCTGTCTCTGTGCCAGCAGAGCATTTGCCCCAGGAGAGCACACGTGTTTGGGACATATGGCTGTTGCCACAGAAAAAGTTTATATACGTGGGCCATCCCTTCTCTCTGAAAACCCATGGAAGGGACCGGGACTCAGTATAGGGTGTGGAAGGGTTGGGAGAGTCAGGTCCAGAACTGACCCATGAGGGGGTTCCTCATTGGGGGAAGGAGAGCAGGGAGTGCCATAGCGTGCGTGGGGGAGCAGGAAGGCAAAGTCGCAGCACGCCCAGTGGGATTGTCTGCAGGGATGTCCCTGCCAGATGTCCTCTGGGGTCACGCAGGTCCTGCAGTGCCCTGTGCGTTTGTCTTGGCTCTGGCGGCTGCTCATTTCACCTGATTCATGTGTTTCCTTTTCCCCAGACCCGCGTCATGCCGTGGACCCCGTTGCTGCTGCTCCTGACTCTGCTGAGCTGGAGTGGGGCCGGCCCCTCGCAACAGGAGAGGGTCCCTTTCTTAGGACTCACTCCTCAAAGAGCCTGGGGGAGTGGCGGCAGCAATTCCACGGCATCACCTTGTGAGGGGCTCCCCTCCGCGGGAGCCATGGCCTGGACTGTGGCGAACCTCAGCCTGGAGCACCTGCCCCGCTGCCTGCCAAACGCGCTGCAAAGCCTCGATGGCAGCCACAACCTGCTGCACGCCCTGAGTGGGACTGAGCTCAGCCATCTGCCCGAGCTGCAGGAGCTCACGGTGCACCACAACCGCATCTCCACGCTGAGCTGGGGTCCCGGCTGGCCTACCCAGCTGCGCGTGCTGGACCTCAGCCACAATCAGCTGGACCAGCTGAAGCCGTGCGCCGGGCCCACCCTGCGTGGTCTGCGCGTACTGGAGCTCTCTGGGAACCCGCTGCGGGCGCTGCCGCCTCGTGCCTTCGTCTGCTTTCCTGCGCTGCAGCGGCTCAACCTCTCCTACACCGAGCTGGGCCTCAGTGCACAAGGGGGAATCGCGCTGGAGGCGTTCGCAGGAGAGGCTGGCAAAGCCCTGGCCACTCTCAGGGTTCTGGATCTCAGCGGCACGCAGCTCCAGCAAAGTGAGTGTGAGACTTAAAAAGCCAGGCTGTGCTATTCCTGGGCTGAGCAGGGTGTCTCATTAGCAGCAGGGTTCAAAAAGCCCACCAACTCCTCTGCCCCAGCAAGCGAGCCTGGCTCCAAGCTCCACGCCACAGGCTCCAATCTTTGCAACTTCAGATGTGGGAACTATTAAGATTTCCAATTTATACGATGAGGAAACCAAGCTGCTGAAGGTAGAATGATTGAGCCGAGGTCCCACAGGTAAATCCTCGTCTATTCTGGGTCCAGAATTTAAAATTTTAGCCACTGCATTGTGCCTCCCCGCACGGGCTTCTGGAGTGCAGGATCTCTCTGAGGCTGATTCAGGGATGGATGAACACTGGCGATGAGAGTGCAGTTCATGTTAAGGAAGTAGCCATGGGCCCCAGAGGGATTCCTTGATGATGTGGCTAAGATTGTGTCTGGGTACTAGATCATTCTAACAGGGCCCAGGAGGAAGGTGGGGGCAGGTGTTCCCACAGTTGGGGTGCTGACCTTGATTCAGGAGGGCTGTTTTTAAGGAATATCTTAGTGTCTATAATCATCTGTTCCCTCAGAGACAGAAAAAAGAGCGAGTATGGGTGCACAGAGGGTGGGGCAGGCTCCAGTTATCCCCCAGAGCCACACAGTTGGGCCTCTGGCCTCCCCAACCCTTGCCTCAGATTCCTGACCTTCCTCAAAACTGCCACTCCCTGGAGCCTTCCAAGCGAAGCCTGATTACTGTACTTGTGGAATTTCACCAGATGTCGGGCAACCGTGGGCTCGGAGACGACATCCTAGCTCTGAGTCACCCAGTCCCTTCTCAGATGCATGGCCTCAGGCCCGTGTTGGCTGGAAGATAGGAAAGAACGGTCATCTATGAGGGTCCTTCCAGCTGAGGGCCCCAAAGCTTCAGACTGCCACACTCGGCAGCAGCCTTCTGCATGGCACCTGCCACTCGTGTTTCCTGCCTGCCATGCTTGTCCCTGGGTTGGTGCCTGTGTAATGGGCAGTGTCCGCTCTGTGTTCCAGTTGAATCTGAGTGGATGGGAGACCTGCCGAGCCTCACACAGCTCCATCTGCGGAAGATGCCGCGGCTGAGGACCCTGGAGGGAGACATTTTCAGGATGACCCCCAACCTGCGCCAGCTGCATTGCCAGGACTCCCCCGCGCTGACTTCCATCCGCACACCCCTCTTTGAGGACACCCCCTCTCTGCAGGTCCTTCTGTTGCACAAGTGAGTGTTTCCACACCACATCTTAATCCCATAACTCTTGTTTACACTATGTCAAATTTTATAGAAGAAACTGACCTTAATTTGTTTTTCCTCACGGCTTTTCTAAGTTTTCTCTGGGGTTTAGTTCATCCTCATTCTTTGGATGATGTTTTAGGCAGGTCCCAGATGGCCCACACAGCCAACAGTTCAGTCCAGTCCAGAGCAGTAGTAAAGCTCCCAGCTCTTAGGTATTTAACATTTTTTTAAAGCCTGAGCTGGGATATTTGCAGTGGAAAGAGGGGATAGAGGCATCAGGCCTCCATCCCATCATGCACTGCAGGGGCTGGGAAGGAAAGGTATGCTGGTGAAAAGCTCCCACTTGCAAGTGGGATCGCAGGTAGGTGCCTCCAGCTTGGTGGGTGAACACTGTGTCCCTGACCCACTGTCATGCCCAGGAGCAACCACTGGCTGTACTTCTGACGGGAGGGGAAGTGGGATCCCAGTCCACCATCTTCCCTGGAAAAGTGGGTATCTTTGACTTATGGCCAATCCCACAGTAGTCACTTTCCTCTTTTCTCTGCTAGCTCTGGCCAGCATTTGACCTTTAGATTTCTCACATGAGTCAAAGTCTTTGTATCCCCAAGTTCTAAGGGACATCAGTAGCCCCAGGTCACTGTCACTTGGCTCAAAGATTGAAGAGCTTCGCTTAGCATCTTAATTCTCCCACATTGGGATTAGTGGTGGGACTTCCCAAGAGGTCTTCACCACCCAGCCTCTTCTGCCTTCTGAGCCCTCCACTCAGCACTCAGAGGCTGGCGATGGGTCAGCAAGGCCTCCTTCAGTCTCTTCCATGGCCTCACAGGAGCTCTAGCACCTTACTTGAGGAGAGGGGCCCCCTCACCACCTCCCTGTGCTCAGTCTTCTATAGTCTGTTGAGCCTGAGCCTGAAACAGCCCTGTTTTGAACACCCTGTCATGTTAATAGACTTTCCTGTCATTAGCCATGTGTAAATTATTAGAGACAGAAACAGCATTGAACCTGTATCTATTGTGAAATCTTGCCCTGTTCAACCCACTTGTTGAGAATGTCATTGTCTCCTGATCTGCCACCCATGGTCCATTAAGATAGCGCTATGAAATACAAAAGCCCAGAAGAGCCATGCAGGTCACACTGTGTCCAACTATTGTGACTGGCCAAAAAACCCCAGAGTCCAGTGGCAGGTCTTGTTGGTTCTATTCTGCTTGATGTAGACAGTAAAGATGGAATTATTTTTCCAAAAGAATGGGCAGTTATTCAGAGCCAACACAGACCCGTTCACCTGCGCTTTCCTTCACGCTACAGTAGATAGCTCCAGGAGTGTGAGCAAAGGGCTTTGTGTCTCTTGCTCTGGTGCCATCTCTGAGCTTGATAAAAATCTAGGAACTGTATAAAGTGCCAGAATGCAAGCATCATAAAGCTTATTTTTCTGTAAAATAGCTATGCCAGTGCTGCACTTGAGAACTTTTCATGAGAGAAAGGGGGACAGCATGTGGAGAGCGCTTAACGCAGTTTCTGGCACCTCGCAGGTGCCCTAGAGAGTTAATGTAGATGGGGGTGATGATGGCATTGTTGCTGATGATAATGGCAATGGTGGCCGTGGTGGTCACGGTGGTGACAGCAATGGTGGTAATGATGACAGCGGTGGGTGGTGGCAGCAATGTTGGGGATGGCAGTGGTGGCAGTGATGGTAATAATGGCAATGTGATGGGTGTGATGGTGAAGATGGTAAAGATGGTGTGGTTATAATAGTGGTGAGGGAGCTGACAAGGACAAGTGGGGTGGTGGTGATGACAAGATGACCTCTGCTTCCAAGGAGCTGCAGCATGGACAGCAATCTGCTAATCATCGTGATACACATGGCAGGTGCTGTGTTACAAGGAAGGCAGATAGACAGATAGACTGTTCCATCAGGCTGGATGAGAAGAACATGACTGAGCCATGGTTCTCAAGATAAGTCCAGGTGGCATATACCTGTAATGCCAGCACTTGGAGGCTGAGGCAGAAAGATTGCCATGAGTTCAAGGCCAGCCTGGCTACACAGTGAGTTGAAGGCCGGGCTGAGCTACATAGTGAGATATTGGAGAGAGAGAGAGAGAGAGAGAGAGAGAGAGAGAGAGAGAGAGAGAGAGAGAGAGATCCAAGATTGGATCTGTGGGTGCAGCCTAAGTTTCCACATGTGACGCACATGCATAGCTGCTGTTCCCAAAGTGATGACTGTCACCTTCTTGCTGGCTGAAGTATTAGAGCAGATGGGACAGGAGAGTCCTTTCTCACTGAGAACATTAGCATCTGCCCCAGAGCACAAGAATGATGAGCCAATCCAGAGAATCATGTGAAAGAAAAGAACGCTTACTGTCTTAAGCCATAAGCTTTGGGGTGTTCTTTCCTTAGCAAGTGCTAGCTGCTGCACATGAGCACAGAGTCTCCCAGAGGCCTAGTGTCGCAGGCCATCAGCTCCAGTCCAGGTGTTGGGTAGAGCTGAGGGGGGCAACACTTGCCTAATGTGACCCTGGATTACACCCCCCAGTGAAAACAAATGCTGCCAATTACTGTCATCAGGCTACAATAACACTGTTTGTGTGGAGATTCACATTTGTAAACAGGTTCATCATCACAGACCCCGTAGACATAACCAGTGGTCACAAGGATTTATTGCTATTTGGTATGAGGGCTGATACTGAGCCATGGTTCTGAAGACAAACTGATGAGCCCCAAGGTCATGAGGGGTCCCACCCAAAGCAACCTCCTCTAACCCCTAAGGGAATGCTTTTTTTCATGGTATACTGTGTGTCTCTCAAACATGGTCAACCTCCTGTAAAAGTCTGACAATGGATTTTCTGTGTGTGATATTCCAGTTGCAACTTGAGCTCCTTCCCTCCTTGGACCAGGAATTCCTCCCAGGTGCTGTCTGTTTCCCTCTATGGCAATCCTCTCACTTGCAGCTGTGAGTTATCCTGGCTCCTGGATAAAAAGAGAACTGTCGTGCGCAGGTAACACTGACAAAGCAGGGGGCTGAGGGGTGAGGGTCAGCCTTCAGGAGCTGGAGTTGCCATGACGGGCTGGACATTTGGACAGTTTTGGGCAGGGCAGCCCATTCCAGCCAGGCTGAAGGGACAAACTACAAGGAGGAGTTCATGGAGGAGCATTAAATTAGACTGGGTCCTGGGGTTGTGCTCCTCTCTCCTCACATTCATTGGCCAGGAGTCTGTAGCTGGGCCCAACTGCAGAGGATGCTGGGAAATATAGTCCAACTGTGCACCCAGTGGGGAAAAAGAAGTGGGTTAAGTGAACAGCTAAGCCTGTCTCTGCCAGAGCATTGCCACATATTATAGGCAAAGAGAACAGGGCTGGCTCATACACAGAGGTGTTTGATTAAACCCATGCCGCTGCTGGAGGGAGAAGGCAAGATCTGTCTTCTCCCTAAATTGTGCTCTTAACTCCAGACCCTGCTGAGGGAGCCTGGCTTCTTCTCCTGGGTCATTCAGACCAAGGCCTGAAGACTTACAAAGCTCTCTCAGGGACAGGACGGAAAGAATTCTCATGAAGGCTGTTGGCTGGAAGAGCTGCTTTTGCAGTGGGGAAGCCACACCCAGCCTGGCTCAGAAGATGGGTGCAGGGGAGCCAGGGACATCTGCGTCCCGAGCACCCTCAGATCAGCCCTGCCAGCTGATTGCCCCTGTTGGCAGACTCCCCAGACGTCCTGATTCTCCTCTCGCCTCCCACCCATGCCCGGCTGGGACATGCAGTCATCTGTACACCTCACACTTTGCTTCTGAAGACAAACACCCTGTCTCTTCATAGTCAGAGTCTCAGGATCCTATTAGGAAAGATGTTGAGGATGCAGTCGGGAGCGGGAGAGCCTGGCTTCACCACACAACCAGCAACTGGCTGTGTGCAGAGTTCAAGTCACTGTCTTTACCACCTCATCTGTAAAATGGGAGTAAAAGCACCTACAGTGTAAGCAGTAAATGATTTGCTTAAGGGTGAAGAGTGGTGCTTAGCACATAGTGAGACCCGGGAGTGCTCTCTAGTATGTGTGTGCTCATGGACACTGTCAGGAAGGAGTTGGGTGAGAACAGAGTGAGGGACTTGGCTCGGACATTCTGGATGCCCTCTCGCTGCACTTAGCCAGGTCGGGTTTAGGCTCTGCTGCTTGCTGGCCATGGTCTTCCGGGCAGCCGCTTTGCCTTTCTGAACTTGTCTCCTTCTCTGCCCAATGGGAGCCATGGAAGGCCCCTCCTGCAAATGCAATGTGTATGGCCGAAATGGTTCTGAGGCTTAGTGGGGAGGGGTGTCCAGCCTACAGCAGCGCTGACACAGACGTCTGCTAATCAGCCAGCTTTCCCTCCAGGGCGGCGGACACGATGTGCACACCGGCTGCAGGGCCCAGGGCCCCCTTCTCAGCACCTCTTCCACTCTCCCAGCTGCTGGGTATGTGCAGGATGGACCACAGCACCACACTCCTGCCTTCACATCTACACTCTTCTGCTGGCTCAGCCTCCACACCAACCTCACCAGGGCCCTCCGCTCCACCTGCCAGAGGCCAGCCAAGTGTCACCGCAGCCTCATCCCACTCCACACCATCCCTCACACAGGATTCCAGGACACACCTTGGCACCTTGGGGGGTACCGTCCCTGCCAGTGCCCACCCTACAGCAGCAGCTCACAGGCCCAGCAGCACTGCATCCAGCACTGTCGGCACCAGCAGGACAGAGCACCTAGGAAAACACACTGTCAGTCTGGTCCCAAAGCCCTGGGTCTCAGCTGCCACCACCTCGCCAGTCACCAAACACCTTAGCCCCATCCCTACTTTAGGGAGCACCACAAGCAGGACTCAACCCAACCAGAGGATACAGCCCACCTCCCGGGCCCCCTACTCCAGTCCTTCAGATGACGAGATTCCAGTCATTCTACTGGATGACAGTGAGGAGGAAGGGATGGAGGGGACCAACGCGGTGAGACTGCCCCACCGTAGCGTCCCCTGCGATTACGACCCATGCAGACACCTGCAGACCCCGTGCGTGGAGCTGCAGAGGCGCTTACACTGTGCCTGTCCTGGCCTCACTATGGAGGACACTGTTCCTGACCTGCCCCGGCTACAGGTGCTGTCGGAGGTGACTGACACGTCGGTGCTCGTCCGCTGGTGCGCCCCCTACTCAGTTGTGCGAGCCTACCAGATCCACTATTCTGTGGAGGGCGAGGTGGGGAGCCATTTGGTGGTGAAGGACATCTATGCTACTGCCCGACAGCACCCTCTGTACGGGCTGTCACCAGGCACCACCTACCGTGTGTGCGTGGTGGCAGCCAATGCCGCAGGCCTGAGCCAAGCATGGGCTGTGGGCTGGAAAAGACCGTGCGCCACTGTCACCACCAAGCCCAGCCTGGTGGCCATCCTGGTGGCATTGGGCGCGGCCTGTGGTCTGCTGCTCACCAGCACCCTGGTGCTGTCTGCGTGCCTCTGCCGGCGGGTCCGGAAGCCATGTGGGCACAACCATGGCGAGTACCTGGTGGCCTTCAAAAACCCTTATCTGCTCCCTTTTGAAAACCCTGGACAAGACTGCAGGCAGAGCCAGGTGCTGGGGCTCTGCCCTGAGGCATCCGTCCCCTGCGCCACACCCACGAGGGAAGAACTGGCGTTGGACAGCGTGGTGAAGCTGCACACCTTCACTTAGCCACTTCCTTCTTCTGTGAAGCTGATTTCCATCTGGAAGGAACAGGGGGCCCCAAACAGCCCTGTTAGTTCCCATTCCGGGAGGCCACCATGGCTCCAGGCCCGCTACATCTGTCCAAGGACCCATGCTTTTCCTTCCTTCTCTGCTGTCCCTGCTGGTTGAGGCCAGGCCACTCCCACTGTTACCCAGCATCCCTTCCTGGTGCTCCTCTGGGGTTCTCACACGCCAGCACTCCACAGGACCCAGCAGCAGAGGACACAGAAGCAGGAAGAGAGAAATCGCACCGCCTGGCCTCCTCTGCCGTACTGCCAACTACAGCCTTGGGTCTTTTCAGGGCAGGTTCACTTGTAGTCCAGGTCTGGCCAAAGGGTGAGGAGGCATTTTGTCCAGGAATTGGCTCCTGAGAACTGGCGGGCAGGGTGCTGCCTCCAGTGGCTGCTCAAGGGAGGCCTTCTGGGTCTATGAGTGGCATTTTAGAATTCAAAAGTATGCTTCAGGCCTCGCAGTGAAAACCAGTCTTTCAGGAAGGTCTGTACAATGCTGTATTTACCCAAGACTGAGTAGACAAAAGCAGTATAAATTCTTTTTAGAAAGCACAAGAAGCTCACTTTCAGGATTGTTATCATTTGATCAGAGTGAAGAAATGAGCAAAAACCGTGCAGATTCTGACTGGAAGCAGAAGCAGTGCTACGCTCCCCAGTTACCAGGGTGTTAGTGGTTTTTCACTTTAATTCAAACTGGGAAAAAAGTGATCCTATGAAATTATGTTTGGGGCCCAATTTCTAGATTTAAATTTTTTATGCTAGCATTTGTTAATCTGCTGTGGCTTACAACAACAGAAACTTTCTGTGTTACAGTTCAGGCCAGAGATCTGGAAGCAAACTACAGTGTGACCAGGCTGGCTCCTCGTGGAGGCTATGAACTGTGCCTCCATTTCCCAGCTTTCACTGGTACCCCCTGGCTTGCAGACTTCAGGCTCATCTGTGTCGCTGTCACCCCAGGGCCTTCTGTCTCCCTCTCCCCACTTAAAAAAAAAAAAAATAATAAAGGCACAGGTCAGTACATGGAACCTTGCCCTGATGGACTGTAACTGCAAAGACCTTATTTCCAAAAAGGGCACATTCACAGGTACTGCGGGTTGGAAGGCTGGAACTCATCTTTTTGGGAGACAAAACAGAACTCACACAGACTTATTTCTATTGTAAGAAAATGTTAAACTTGAGCCCCATGTAGCTTGTTTGCAAGCCACCCTACAGAGTCTTCAGTACATCCAATTCTCACCCTAGCAGAAGTTGTAGGTTCCCAGGCTAATAAAGAACTCAACGCACCCCTTTAAAGTGCAGGTTTGTTGATTCCTGTCAGGGAAAAAAAATTTTCAGGATGAGTCAGTAGAGGCAGGAGGAGGATTAGAGAACACCAGAAGCTGCCAGCACTGGGGTGCCCCGGCCTGTGGCGTCTAAGCCAGCAGAAGGCACACCTCTAAGAGCTGTTCGCAATAGGGGCCACTGCGGTGTCTGCTGTTGTGGTCTTCCAGGTCACAGTGCTGGACGGGCCCCTGGAATGGGGATGGACACAGCATCAGGCTGCCTCCTGCCTTTGCTTCCCAGGCTGGAGGAAGAAGGAAAAGGAATTCACAGGTGAAAGGGAATGGGTAGGGAGCCCTGTGCCCGTGCAGCTGAGAGTGAGTCGCCTAGGTTCACGGGTTTTGGGAGAAGGGAAACATCAGACCACCAACCTGGCTTGTTTTCTGAAATTGCAATTTTCCCTAAAAGAAATTTAAATTCTCAATTTCCTGGATTTTCTGATTTATTTTTCCCCCTGGTGTGTGTGTCTTGTCTTTTTGAGACAATGTCTTATTATATGCAGCTCAGATTGGCCTCAAGCTTAGTCCTGGCTGATCTTAAACTCACAATGATCCCCTGGCTCAGTCTCCCTCCTGAGTGCACCACACTTGTTTTCTTTTATTTTCCTCAACACTACGTACTTCCAGGTGTTTAAAGTTTGGAAAGAGCTTGCGAATATTCTAAGATGTACCCCTATTATCACATATATAACTAAGAGAATTGGATTGATTTAAAATGCCCTAAGATTGAGCTGTGGGGGACTCAGGTCAATAATTTCTGACATTGCCAGTTAAATATAAGACCCAATGCTATTATGGGCTACTGGACTCTTTTAGAATATTTTGCTGAGTTTACACACCTATAATATTCAATAATGGAACTTAGAAAAAATGGGGTATACCGATGAATGTCCATTTTGTATCTGTGTATTCAAAGAGGTTGGGATAGATATATAGTTGCATTCTCTTAATGAATAGAATGATTTGTTCTAATGGTGTTTGTAAATGGGATCACAAGTCCGCATCTTGTACAGCAATTAACCACTAAGAAGAATATATGCAGTGTATTATTTGTTGAAACTGTCCTTCCGATATGATTTGAAACTGTCTCATTGCTATCTGTTTGACAATAAAACTTAAAAAAAATAAATAAAATAAAATAAAATTAAAAAATAAATAAATAAATAAAATAAAATGCCCTAAGAATTGCAAGCACAAAGCCAAAAAAAACCTGATGAATTAAATGTAAATCCCTCATACATGAAATTGAGCTCAACATCTGTAGTAAGATAAGTATATTTTGTGGAGCCACAGAATTGTTTTAGGTCTATATTGCATGAACATACCATTGAACATGGTTAACTTAATACAATTCCTATATGTACAGGAATATTTTTTTGTTTTTTGGTCTTTTTGAGATAGGATCTCACTATGCAGTTCAGGCTGGTCTAGAGGTCACTTTATAGCCCAGGCTGCTTGGAATTTGCAACGATCCTCATGACTCAGCCTTCCCAGTACTGGGATTACAGGAGTGTGCCACCACACTCAGCTTCCAATATATTTTATAAACTGGCAAAATTTGTTTTGTAACAATTCATTATCCAAAAATCTCAGGAAAGTCTGTCCCTGTATCATCAAAACAAACTAAAAAAGAGGAGACTTGGATCATTTTTTTCTAGGTGTTGAGGTGAAAAAATACATAGACTAGTCAGGTGTAGTGGCACACGCCTATAATCCCAGTGCTTGGGAGGCTGAAAACAGGAGGATCACTATGAATCCAATCTGTATAATAAGACCTATACTAAATACATAAATAAAAAATAATCCATGGGTCCAACCCATTAGTCACTCTAAATAGCATCAACATCATGCCATAAATACATACATACATTTATAATTCTTTCCGTAACTACTTTAAATTTTCCTTTTTAAAAGCACACTACTCCCCCCTTCCCCCCAGTGCCAGGCTGCGCAGGGCTGTAGCTTCCTCTGAAGGGAAGTGTGTTGACTTCAAACCACTGACTGGGTTGGGCATGAGTCAGTCCAGGACCAAAGTCCAGTGGGGTTAGAAATGGTCTCCATTTGTTCACAGCTTCTCATAATAGAGTAATTTTTTACTTTGTTCTAATGGGTTGTCTTAAGTTTATTTTTCTGTTTAAAAACAGCTACGTTACTTGATTAAAATACAATTCTAAAAATAAATAAATAAATAAATAAAAGCACACTACTGTAGTGCTGGGCATGGTGGCACATGCTGTCAATCCTGCACCCGGGAGGCTGAGGAAGGCGCATCACTGAGTTCAAGGCCAGCCTAAACTGCGGTGAGAATCTGTCTCAAACAAACAAAATTGGGTGCTCACCCCCAGATCTCTGGGATGGCTCAGCAGTGGCCTTCCACCTCCAGCATCAACACCTCCAGGCTGGCCCCATGCTAAGCAAAGTCAGCCAGTGCCCCAGGCTTCTCCAAGCAGAGATGGCTCAGCTGCCAGTCTCAGAATAAGCCAGAAGCAGCACGCAGTAGAGGACCCACTGAGGCAGGGTGCCTCAGCAAGTCAGAGGCGGTTTCCTGACAACCTCCACGTGACTCAGCCCAGCCCTACAGGGCCTGACTGACAATCCCACACTGAGTCTGACTTGCACCAGGTCACAGCAGGACAGTGGGCAGCCATCGGCCCCCAGTGTGAGGCCCAATGGCTCTGCTACTGTCTTCCCACTACGCATCCTCCCTTCTCCTGCGTATGATGCCACAGCAATAAGGTCTCTAAGTAAGATGGTCCTAAACCAACGATATTCACAACGCTGGTGCAGAGGCCACGTCTGTAGAGACTTCATGGGCTTCAGCAGGGTATCAAGTATGCAACAGGGAAAAGCCCAGGATGAAGGTCCAAGTATTTTTCCAGCACTTTTATTTAACATCTTAACAAAAGAGTCTCCAAAGGTTTAAAAACTTTTGAAAAATATACAGTTTCATATTCTTTACATAACATATGTGTACAGCTTCCAGTATCATAGAAACCCTGCTGTGTTTGAAATGCAGTGACTGTGGAAACAACTTTTGGCTTTTCAGAGAAAAGGC